GTATGAACAATAAAATTGATTACAGGTTTGTTCAAGATTATTGTCATCTTTTAATAAATCACAAGACCAGATTTCTGCCTCGTACATTAAAATTGGTGAAATTAGTTGGTCAAATAACTTAAAACACAGTGAAGGGAACACCATTTTGTGATATAATATGGTTTGTCGTATAGAGAATAAAGCTTTCATTGCTTTGTTTTTTAACATTAATAAATTTGATTTAAATTTTCCATTTGATGTGAATATAGTGCCTAAATAAGAGACCATCTACAGGCGGGTGATTTGGTCAAACATTTGGTCATTTCACAGTGGATGAGCCAGCACTGTGTATTACTTTTGAATTATCAACAGACTACAAGGAAATAGCATCTACTTTAAAAGACTGCAAATGTAATGAATGAAGCAAACTTTATCCACAAATATGTCTAATCGGTCAATGACACCGCGACCATCTACATATGATAGGGAAAATCACCAATATATGCAATATTGACAAAAGGAAAAGGGAAAAGAACATTAAGTAAAAATAACTAAAAATTACATATTCAAAATATAATATTTTAGAGACAGAGCTTGGAGCCGTTGCTTAAATTATTCAAAAGAAACTCCATGCCAAGGGATGCAGACAAATCTATCAAGAAAATAAAATAAAATATGCACTAACAAAAACAATTCAGAATCAGAAATTCACCAACGATGAACTGATAAAACATTAATTAGTAAGAATACATGTATGCCAATGAAAAGGCAGTTAGAGCCATGAATAAACTACAAGATCATATGAATATGAATAATCATAATGTCGTACTTAACACACCAATCAAGCTCGATTGTTATTTTGATGACAATTTAATAAAGCATTATTTAAGTTATTTTTAAAACAAAAAAATAAACAACAAAAAGTACGATGTCAGTCATGTTATATACGTACAAACATGACATTTTATGAGATGCTACAGGAAATAATAGCACATGGTTCCAAAAATTACCGTTATTAACTGAATTTATAATCAATGTTTGCTAACAAAATTATGATGACCCTAGCTTAGTATACGCCAACATGATCACATACATCAAAACAACGAAGGAAGATAACATTACTACAACTTTGGTTGAAAGACTAAAGTTAAAATTTCAGCAAAGTAGTTTTGATTTATTGCATGATGATAACAGAGGAATTAATCATCAAAATAAACTCCGCACATATAGGCAGCTCAAAAAAGACACCTCCTTTGAAAAATATCTGGCGGTTGTAAAAAATCCATACCACAGATCAGCCATGACAAAACTCAGAATTAGTGCACACACTCTTAAGATTGGGACTGGAAGGCATCCAAATATAAACGTAGCAGAAAGGAAATGCCCAGTTTGCAACACTCAACAAATTGAACTTGAAGATGAAGAACATTTCCTTCTTCACTGCCCATGCTACAATAACATCAGAAATGATTTTTTCCAAAAAAATGGCAACGCAAACATTGATCAAATTTGTTTAATAAAAATTCTAGAAAGCAAAAATGAAAACACATTGATCAAACTTGGTAAATTCATTTATCAGTGCTTTAACTTGAGAGAAGAAAACATGAAACTTACTACACCAGCTGCCTCATAATATTTACATTATACATACTTATTTCTGATAATAGTAGTGTTTTAATTTGTTGTTTTTTCTATTATTTAGCTATTTTAGTAATTACATGTACTGTATTCTACTTTCCTTTATCTGATCATTTATTTTTAATTGTTTATGTTTTTTTCTAAAACATTTTTACTTTATTGTAATCAATTTAATACGTACCCAAAAGAAGGTACAATGTCAATAAAGTTTACTTTACTTTACTTTACTTCCGGTTGCGGAGTTTTTGTACTCGGGAGAATGAGGTTACCCTTTGCCGCAACTACCTCCAGGTCACCCTTGGGCAAGGTGTAGCACCTGTAAGCCTTGGGTGCCAACTTCCCACATAACAAGTTCGGTTGACGTCAGTAAGGGCATACGGTCGTAAAACTCCTGCACAAATAGATCCGCACAGGTGGACAATTTTTCATGTAAATATGTAGATATTAGTTTCAGTTGTATTTAGCATTTGGCAGGGGGGGATCGTAACCTCTTGTGGTGAGAACCAGTGTGACTGGCCTGCCAACGGGGTGCTAAGGATTTCATTGGAAAAGTTGTCAGTTACATCCGTTAATGTAATTTCGTTTTACATACCCGTAAATCAAAAATCACTTTACTTTACTTTACTTTACTTTACTTTACTTTACTTTACTTTACTTTACTTTACTTTACTTTACTTTACTTTACTTTACTTTACTTTACTTTACTTTACTTTACTTTACTTTACTTTACTTTACTTTACTTTACTTTACTTTACTTTACTTTACTTTACTTTACTTTACTTTACTTTACTTTACTTTACTTTACTTTACTTTACTTTACTTTACTTTACTTTACTTTACTTTACTTTACTTTACTTTACAAAATGTCGCGCTCGACGCCGAAAATGTTATATGAGAAAATTATTAATGAAAGAATAAAGCTGCACAGAAAAGTGTTTACCTCAAATACTCAGGAAATGCGCTTACCCGGTCATTGGCTGAATTACATAATTATATGTAGATTATCGAACCCAGTCCAAGATAGTTGATAAATATTATATTATATTCATTATATTTTAACTGAATTATTATTATTCACACCACTATGAAATTAAAGAAAACAATAACATAATAAAGCGTGTATATACCTACATCGGATTTTAATAAGATTCAATTCATTATTATTTTTTACCAACACCGTGAAGACAACTTTTTGTCATCCAATTTCGTTTTGTAACATTTAAAATACAATATATATTTATTATAACCAAATATATATATATCATACGTTCTGGCATTGTTGGTGTAATTTGACAACAATTTTAAGTACCAGTATTATATTTTTTCCGAACGTCACCTTTAAGCGGAAATTCGCATTTCAAAGTCCAATTCCAACTAAACAATGACTTTGGCTCCAACGTGGACGTGTACTTATTTCATCTAGTATCACAGTCATCTATCTACTAGTATCTATAATAGAGGGACTGTGTTAGTATCAAAGATGATAACATGTCATGCACACCTTGCTCACCCAGGGCTGCATTGATCACTCATCGGGTCTGTGAAAGAATGACGTCATTTTTATTTTGGCCCGTGACAAAAACACTGCATCATATCAATCCGCATGAAAAACCTTTCTTGAAAATGGTATTCCACACTACTGAATTAATCAAATTGAATACACTGTAGCTATATATGGATCACATTACAATAGTAAGTGACAGTTTATGCTCATTTACTAAATGTAAATCAATATTATTGTGTTTATTTTTTCTGCGGCGTATGGTTACATTCTAACGTAGGTGTGATAAGATATGTATGACAACAACCCATCACGGTGTTCGAAATATGTGCGTAGTGACATAGGATTGGACAAAACGAACTGTCGGAACCAGTTTTAACCCTATATTTGGGGCATCCCCTCATTTTAATATCAAATCTACCGAAACTACTTCGTTGAAGATGTCTGAAAATTTCGCGTTGGCCGTTCGTACGGACAGTGGTACTAATGTTTATCAACTGACCTATGACATATCATGGGAAAACTTTGAGGCCATGGTAGGTACTTTTTACTTTTTCCCGGTTAATACAAATTTAGAAAACTTCTTTACGATAAATACGACGATGTCAGGTTTAATTCTTATTATTGTATGTTATTTTTTCAGATAAAATGCGTTTTGGATCAGGATAAAATCCGTATTAAATACGTTGACGAAGAAAACGACGAAGTAAGTTCACCGTCCGCCATATTGTTTTTGTGTTCGTTATTTTTCTTTTTTGTTGCATCAAAAATTCCACCCACTGATTTGTATACGTTGCTCATATATATAATATTTTTTTTTTGCAGATTTACATGAATAGTGATGGTAAGTTTCTATTTTATTTTGTTTGTGTATTCGGTTCGTGATCGAATCATGGAATAGCTTCTATTTTGTGGCGTTGCATTACTCATTTGCCCTCCCTCTGGATGGTTAGCTTTTGTATTTCCAAATTGTTGTGACGCAGTTGTTTCTAGCCCAGCTATAAACCTGCTGCGTTTTAATCTGTGCACAGATGTGCTGCATTAACAGACGTATCTGTCTCATTGTTCTGACTGTGTATATATGAGTTAATGTTTACAAATAAAACCAGCTGATGCATCTGTATAAATACCACAACAAACTAGTTTATAAGAATTGAAGGTCAATAATTTGTATACCATATTTGCTCTATTCCTAGCGCATGCATAAGTCTCATTTTAATAATCCAGTATACAACAAATGCAATTATTAATTTATTTTCCATTGAAAATTGGAAATGTTTTCATTAGAAAAGCTTCAGTGTTTCTGGTCATGCTTTGAAAAATTTAGCTTTGGAAAGAGTTTTTTGAACCCCTAACCTGAACGCTAATCATCACCCCCAGCCTCTCTGTTGTAAGAGTAAGTGATAAGAACATTTTTGGTGGGCTGCACCAGGTACCATTTTAGACAAAATAACAAAAGCAGAATCTTAATTTATCCATACACATCTCGATTTGTATCGCCTCAAAGCTGAGATTGTTGCTAACAGATAGCTATTGAAGTAGTTCACCTACTCTATCATTATACAATGATAATATTTTAAAATTACCAAAAGAAGATATGTTTGTGCATATTATGGGAATAAAAGACAGTTTCATTGCCAATAGTCTAGGAAAGTTTATTAACATAATTTTACAATGTAATACCTAATAGTTGTTAGTGTTATCTGTTTTAACATTTTATTAATTATTTAAGATTTTTAATATCTGTATTTCTTGTTATTGTGGTTTTTTTTTTGTGTATGATTATTGACCATGGTTAATGTATTTCCAATTCATTAATTTGAGTCAAATAAAATATACTATACTATACTCGTCGGTAAGGGCATACGGTCATAAAAACCTTGCACCAACAGATCCGCATAGGTGGACAATATTGTATGTAAATATGTATATATACGTTTCAGTTTCCCTTAGCATTTGGCAGGGGGGATCGTAACCTCTTGTAGTGAGAACCAGTGTGACTGGCCTGCCAACGGGATGCTAAGGTTTTTATAGTAAAAGTTATCAGTCACGTTCGTTAATGTAATTTCATTTTATTTATCCGTAAATCAAAAATCACTATACTATACCTATAAAATCCTGGAATCATTACAATTTGTTTACCATCATAAAAAGTAAAATTACTTTATTTTTGCAAGCCTTGGGGATGTCTAATTACAAGAGTTGTGTTTGTGAAGACCATTCTCTGTTTATCATTATTTCACCAGTATCCCTTACCTTGAAACTAAATTAATGACCCACTAAAGGTTATGTTCTCTCATTTTATGCTTTATAGTAAGCTATTTACCTGATAGACTTTGTACATGTTTAGTTCTGAAATTTCCAAGATTGCTGAGATGATTATTTTCCCATATACACATACATGTATATCCAAATTAATGATTCTCCTCTGGGGCAATATTTTGTCATTGTGGAAATAGAGACGATTTGTTGAAAAATGTCAGCTTTATTTATCAACGATTCTGGCTTAGTCACAAAACTGGGGGATTTGTTTGTTTCAAATTTACCAGAGAGAATAGAAAGTGAACAATATCTTTGCAACCAAACAATAATTTGGTTATGAAAAGGTAGTAAGGGATATGCATGACTATCAAAAAGGTTTAAAAAAACTGGGCTTGTAACAATTTTAAAATCTTGTCTGTATGATGCATCAAATTTGAAAGGCAGACATTTTGTTTTCTCAGACCAAAACAATCAATATGGCCGCCATGTCATATGTAAATTACTTGCGGTTGTCACAGTGATATTAGTCATTATCTGATGTACAATGGCTTGCATAGTTATTACAATCATCATTAAAGAAAAAAATCTACATGCATTTATTTTAATTTTATTTTTTGAGATATAAGCATTTTTTTTCTAACAAAGCCTTTGTCTCGTAAATTTATGTTTTCACAACCTCTGGTACTTTGTGAAATTTGGTACAGTCATGTTTTGCGAAGTTCCAATGTCTTCTGTTACAAATGTAGAAATGACTACATACCTAGAATATATAATGTCATTTTTTTAGAGGATCTCCACTGCTATGAGTGTCCATATGGCAGGCACTACATGTATGTTACTATTTTTGTTGTTGATAAGACACCATATAAACAACTGTAATTTACAATATGTTTAGATAATTACAATAGTAAAGTAGTATTACTGTTTTTTCTAAAAAAAATTTGCAAATAAAGAAATAAAATATTTCTATTAGATGGATTGCATTGCCATAATATAATGTGGCAAATTAACAACAACAAGAAATGAAAACTTGTATATTTTTATGAAGAGGGGCCTTTTGAGTTTTAAGTCCATTATTACCATATCTGTAGTCCTAGTTGTACTCATGACATTTATGTTAGACAGTCTACACGCAGCAGCTTTTATAGATTAAATTCATTTAAAAGGTATTGAGTTTGCATAGCTATTTTAGTATTGTTTGATATGCATGACTCAGAGTTTCAAATAAGTATTTACAGTCAAGTCAGCATGTTGTGCAATCAGTATGGCTGACATCCAATTCTCAGAGAAGTAAAATGAATAAAAGCTGCAATATTCTTTTGTTATGTGCAGGTGCATTAACATGCTTGTGTGTATCATATCTATTTATGTAATTGTTATGTAACTAAATTTTGAGATATGATGACACCTGTTTACCCCAATTTTGCTGTTACCATGGATTTTATACAATTTTTTTGTACCAAAGTAATTTAGTAACCAGATTTTGTTATCAGGGTATAATAAAAAACAAACAAAAAACATATAGTGAAAATTCAGAAAATCTGTTTGATTAGTAGTCAAATACATGAATCTTTATGTCATCTTTTTGTCACTGTTTTAATTCAAGTCCCAAACTCATGAATATAAAAAAAAATGTAAGTTTTTGTGTTTATTTAGAAAAAAACTGATTTATGAAATATAATACAATATTCATAACTCCTACATTGTAGACTTCTCATGAATAACTAATACAATTTATTTATAATTTTATGATCACAGTGTAGCAGACAATTATTTTCACATCTGCTGAGAGCACATACTGGTGTGGTGATATTTCCCATTTTAATAATTTGATTAGCCTGATTTGATCAACTTGAATTTTAAAAATAATTCATAAATTAATTATGTGTTGGGACCTGCTCACTGGTAGCTCAACTGCATTATCATAATTCACTTCACCAAACCGGATTTATCACCTAGTCTGTAGAAAATATTGCAAAAATGCAATTCATATGTATAAATATATTGCTATCAATTTTACAAAATAAACCTCCACAATCATTTTCATATATTCTTACAAAATCTTTATCAAGATGAGAAATTGCTATAAACAGTTAATGTTTGCAATTTGATGATTTAATAGTGTTCAAGAGGAAATTTTTGTAATAAATCATATTTAAATGTTCCAGTATAGAGTAAACACAACTTTTGTTGGCATAAAGTCAGACGAGTATGGTAGTGCAGGAGAGAAGATGTTTTTGTTTTGCCATTGTAATGATCATTCATTGTACAGGGGTTGAAAATGAAAATTACCTGTCTGTTGAACAGGTTGGTGAATAAAAGTGCCTGTCCCAACTGATAATACATCTGTCCCTAATATAAATTGAGACATTATTATTATCAATTCTAAAGCAATTTTCTGGACATTAGCAACTTGGAACTACCCCATTTAGTCAGTTAGTATTACCTGGCAGAAATCAAAACACTGGGCTCCTTAAAAGTGGTACGGTCAGCATGCTTAATACTTTTGGATACATACGTTATGACCTACATTTAATTAGTACTGTATATCATTAAAACAGGTCAGAATATCTAGCATGAGAATTGTTACATCTGATATGAAAGCATGCATCATATACTTCATGCTGTAGCTATTTAAAATTATTTGCACGCCATGAAGATTATAATTGTTTATTGCAAGGCTGGTTTCTGTTCACTTTTCAAAAGTTGCCAATGGAGAATTAAGTTTTCATTTATCAACAACAGATTATATCACTTTTTCAATTTCAAAAAAACATTTTTACATGTGATCATTTTTTTATTCATGTATAACAGAAGAACTAGCTGTAGCTAAGACCATTGCCAAGAAATCTGGTGATACAATGAATATTACTGTAGAGAAAGTCATAGAGACACCAGATGTACCAGAGTCTCCTACGATGGCCACAGAGCCACTTGTAGCCTCTGAATTTGAAGAGTTGATTCCTGTTGATGATAATGATAATAATAATGATGATTATGATGACGATGAGATGGAGGTGATGGAGATTGTAGGTGAGAAGGAGAGATCACATCAGGTGAGATTACTGTAATTGGTTTTGCAGGGGATTGTATGGTAGCAGTATTGGGGGGGAGGAGTCAGGTTTGTGCTTACTCAAATAAGTGTCTATAATCTAAATAAGTCATATTGAATGATCCGGTATTATACAGAATATGGTGGATATTTGTTGCTTCAAGCATGTAATAAATTGTAATTTGCCTATCCCTAATTTTACCAACTCCTTAAAAACTCTCTGGGGCTGGTACAATTAAGGATACACTTGTATATCAGGTTGTATATGTATACTGGTATGAAATCAGATTAGCGAATGATAACGGATTGTCTGTGGCCAAAGGAATGATACTTAAATGATATGGTATATATGGATATGGTATAGTATGGATCATTCAAATATTACTTTGCTCTGCAATTAATGGTTTTCATGCACTTCTATTGGAGATACGATTTCAATAGAGAAAGACAGGTACACTTTTCACTAAGTGACAAAGCACCTCTGTGATGTAAAAATGACATGTATGTCAAAAATGCACTTTGTTACAACTAGCTGGAATAGTGTAATTGGTAATTGAATGAGATTGTACTTTTATGCTACCTTATATTTACTCTTCCATATTTCTCTATTAGAGAGACATACAAATTATGGTGTCCACTTTAGCCTGTTATGTTCCTCCATTGAAGATGTACTTCAAATAGAGCTAAGACAGAATTAGTACTGTAAAATCTGTATTAGAATCCGCGGCTTCTTTTAAAATAGTACAATGCAACAGAGGGAATGCGGCTTCTATTAGAGCATACTACACTTGTGAGAAATGATGAATTTTTGATTCACAATTATTCAAAAAGAATGGGTGTGACTTTTATTAGAGATGCGGCTTCTAATACAGATTTACGATAGCAAATTTAGAATAAAGGTGCATAAAAGCCTTAATCATGCACCAACCATACTTACCATCTGATTTGTTCACATTGTTGTGGCGACGGGCAGTATTGCTATTTATGTATAATTTTCAAAAGGTGATGTGCTTCTAATAGAGCAAGTATGATATGTGAACTTAGTGTGATGCATTTACTTTGACTTGGGAAAATTACTGAAGTTTATTAGTTTGTCATGTGTGTGTTATATATACAGTTACATTCATTAACATTGACTAGTCTCTAGATTTGTACATGGTAACATAAAAATATCCCAAATTTTAAAATTAGAAAATCAATTGCATTTTCTAATTGCTTTTACCAGGAGAGTGAAGGCCCAAAGAGTGTGCCCAGGGTTTCTCGTTATAAACTCAGAAAAACTAAACATAAGCGTAAGATGAACTATTACGCTGCTTTAGCTGAGGAGGTCGGAAAATCGCGAGCTGATAAACCTAAACCAGCAACGGAACCAGAGAGTGAAGGAAATCATGTTGCTCAAACGCAAACTAGTATTGAATGTGCCGAAGAAGTTGTTGAACCACCTCCAAAGTGGTTTAAAAGTGAGATAAAAAAGGTAACAGTATTCAGTCAGCTATTTTTCTTGTATGTCCTTCACTTGAACCCTTTCACCATCAGAATCAAACATAAATATGTTTGACTTTGGAAAGTTTTTACTCTATTTTGTACAACAATGTATGAGAGACATGTACGTTTCAAACATTGCATTGTAAAAAGCGTGCAAACGTTTTAACTGTTTACTCATTACATCATGAGAAAATGTCTCTGTTGCCATTTACATCAAACAAAAATTGCAAATGACATATTTTGAAAATATATTTCATGCCATATTTCATCAATTGACCATGGTATAATTAATTTCAATCACTGCTGTCATGAATTGGTTTCGACCAATCAAATTGTCTTTTTGAACACATGTATATGTCTTTTAATTAGATGTCAATTTGTTACATGGTTACAAAATAAGAGTTGGTATGTGGATCTTCTAAATCATGCCATAACAATTCAAACAGTTCAATTTTTTTCGAGCAAACAGACAAAATTTTATATTGCTTTCACATTTTGATTAAAAGTGGCTGTAGCTAGGGTCACAAAGTGGACAATGGTGGTGAAAGGTTTTTTTATGAATCTCCTCTTGAAGTTAACGTATATAACTATGGTAAAATTTGTAGAAACTAATTAACTAATGATGAAAATATAGTATTTACCCAGTTTTTGAACCTCTCAAAAATACAGCTTCATTCTCCTGGTTGTACTAAACTGAACACTTCAGACATAACATGCATTTTACAGAGATTGTGATAAAACTTGTGTACACATCATAGAAGATATTATCATATAATACAGCAATCTGTTTAAAACAAGCAGTATGAATGCTTTACAGTCAACCCATAATTATCTGAACTTATCTTAAATTATCTGAGCCTAGTTACCTAGGCATTTTTGAGCATAGTGGTTTTACCATGCTCAGACTAACAAAAAAATAATAAAAAATAACCATCACCGTAATAAAGGCTATTGTTCCAAAATGATCTACTTATTATGTAAATTAGTTAATATTGTGAAGCAACCATTTGCATAACATTATAAACTTCTTTACATGTTTTCCAAAATATACAGTGGAATTAAATGTATACAATTGATCTCTATTTGTTTGACATTGATGGGATGACAAGCTGAGTGCAATTTGGTCTGTTTGTTTGGAAATCGCTTTAATCGCTTTAGTTTGGATTATTGATCACAGAGTGTATGAAATAAAATTTGAAAATCGATATTTAAAAGTGAGGTTTGAATCTACTTTGCATATCTACTTTTAAATTTCACAATCTTCACTGTGACTCAGTGAAAAGTTTGCTATTTGAGCTGTCACCGTGATGAAATTTTGCGATTGTCACTGTGACTCGGTGAAATGATTTTTGCTGTTCATGGAATGAAATTTGTCACTGTTCGTGTGAAATGCCTACTGCTATAGCAAACGTATATACTAACATAATTATAGATTAACCTATTATTCCATTTATTCCCTCTTGTAATTTGCCTTTGTAGTTAATCCAGACAGTTTCATCTATTTGTTCAAAGTGGCGATGGGCAAATGTCAATGATTCTGTTCAAGTATGTTTACTCACTTTTCGCCGCAATGTAAATTGGATGCTTTATTTTTTATCATTATTTCAAATTTGTGCTTACATGTATCTGTTGAAAAAAAAATGAGTTGCTTCTCAATTTTATTTTTAAAATATCAGCCTCAGTAACAGCCATTCACACAATCACTAAAATTAGTCTCGCTAAGTAACTAGATGCAAGACTAGTTTTCCTAACTTATTGTATATTATGTAAAGGGAGTCTCTTTAACTGTTTATCTGTGGTTAGTCCCCTTAACTGATTGGAAATTCCTGAATATGTAAAGGGAGTCTCTCCAACTGTTTATCTGTGGCTAGTCCCCTTAACTGATTGGAAATTCCTGAATATGTAAAGGGAGTCTCTCCAACTGTTTATCTGTGG